ACCCAGACGCCCACCTCGCCCGCCCGCCTACCATTGGACGTATAGCATCACAGCACGAGGACGTGCCGTTGTGGACCGCCCGTGCCTACGTGTAATGTAGTGTAACGTAGAGCGACGTAGAACGTACTGCTGGCTTTTTGCCAGCAGTAAACGGTTCAATCGGTAGACTCGTCCAAAGCAGCGCCCGCCCCAGCCGTTCGCTCGTCCACTGCCGCAGTGGTGGGAATGGGAGCGAAAACCTCCCATTTCGTGGTTTCCCCACCATTTCGCCCCGTTTTTTCACTATTTTTGCATTACTGGGCACCTTTGCTCTTTTTCAAAGTGTACATGAAATTATCGTGCCAACTGCCTTGTATTTATCGATAAGCCGCTGCTGCTGGTCAGTTGGGTAGCACACTAGCTCGATAAAGGAGCTCTATTATCAGTTCCAGGCATGAGCTAGATGTTTTGCTGAATAACTCGGCATCCTTGTCATTTTTCACTGATAAGTTGTTCCCCGCAAAGCGGAGGTGGTGTGGTGGCAAGTAGCCCGCTACACGCGCACAATCCGTGGATCGAAACCAGGATCGGTCCCGCTCAGCCCAACCAAGCTTTCTACCCTCCAAGAGCGGTGAACTGGTATCAGGTTCGTTTTGGAGGATGAGAGCACTGTGTACATCAGCTCCCCCCCCCCTGCAGATCATTGTATAGACCACATAGTAAGCACCTACGATTTCGAGTGGAAGTAGAACGCCGGCCGCATCTCAGAAAAGTATTGACCAACGGCGACAACTTCATGCTTTTTATCCTTTATATAAGTTGTTACCAAGATCTGAGTAACATATTTTCCCCGTTCAGAGATGTTTCTGTGCGACAACGTGCTGTCGATCTACTGTACGCTATGTGCGACCGCACCAATGCCAGCGAGATCGTCGCAGAAATGCTTTCTTATCTGGAGACGGCCGATTACTCCATCAGAGAAGAAATGGTCAGCGGTGTTCCCCATATCATCGGCATCGGGATCATTGACAATATTCTAGGTCCTGAAAGTCGCAATCCTGGCTGAAAAGTATGCTACTGACTATACATGGTATGTCGATGTAATCCTGAAGTTGATTCGAATTGCCGGTGATTATGTGTCAGAAGAAGTGTGGTATAGAGTGATTCAGGTACGAATTTTCGTTTTTATTTATTTAAAGAGGTTGCTGTGAATGCCAGGTAAATCAGGACGTAGCTGTCCCACAGCGTTATTACTTCGCCACAGCTATGGCTGGGTACGTTTGCTTACGCAGAGTGGCTACCCAACGTAACATTAATGCAGGAAGTGTTATGAACATTCACGGCAGGTGCAGCATGTTCGCTGCGGATGATGGGCGTGTTAGGCAGGGCTGGTGGGCACAGCGCCAAAAACGTTCTCCACTAATTGTTGAGGCGGGTAAGCGACAACTACTGGTGGGAAACGGATGATACGAACAGTATGATGCCTTCTTGTCGCTTGCTCGCTTCAATAAATGGTTGAAAACGAATTAGGCGCCGCGCCGATCCCCTCTCACCGAACAGGGCCCCTTCATCCGCAGCGAACAAGACTCTAGTAACCCAATCATGAACAGATCGAGAATCCGAATA